AATTCTCATGAAGGGTGGATGATGTGGATCTCGTTCCAACTCCATGGCGAGTTCCATTTCCGCCGGAGCGACATGTCCCACAAGCAATGCCTGATATTCCTTGCGGACCCGCCGTTGTCGGAAATCGTCATGCAGCTGGGAGAGGGCTTGTTTGGAGAGGGCATAAACGAGAATGCCACTGGTATCCATGTCGAGTCGATGGACAATCATTTGATCCATACTGTCGATCTGCCATGGCTGCAGGACGTCCCAGACCAATCCGGCCAAACTGGGGTTGCGTCGAGGCCCAGGCACACTGAGAATGCCGCCCGGTTTGACACAAACACAAATGTGATCGTCGCGATACAAAATGTGCAAATGCTCGTGGCGATTGAGAGGACTTGAAGCGGAGTGTTCCTTTTGAATCTTTTGTTGCAATTGACGTTGTTGTGTCGGCGATAACGAGTCAAACTGTTGGACCAAGGTGGCAGAGGATCTAGACAGAGTATTGTTGTTGTTGGTATCATGGACTTCAAAAATTCTCTTGCTGTGATCACGTCTTGACAAGGCTTGCGTCGTGTTGGTAGCGCGATAGATTTGTAGAGGTAGCATATTGTGGCTGCGACTGCTAAACTGGTCGCTCGATCGAATCTGAACGGATCGCTCCATCAAATGCTCCGTCCATGGTGGAGGGCGTGGGATTCGCAAGTTTCTTGGCTCTGTTTTCTTTGAAGGAAGGGACACGTCCACTGTCATGAGTGGAGACGTCTGGGGTTGGAAGCCTGCGACAAAGTGCAGGTGTGGAATAGCCAAGAGAAGACATAGCAGTCGTTGCTTCATCCTTCCACCGAATACACTTTCGTCAAGTCAGTCAAACTTATCATCAGATGATAGAAGACAACAACGAGAAAGTAGTAGGCCTACTGTGTTGACTGGAACTACTAGCTACGGTAGCTACCGGTAGTACCATTGCTTTGGATCTTTGGATTTTGTGGCTTGTGGAGTGGCGAGACCTTTTGTGTGACACTGTGTGAATGACAGTCACGAATCGAATCGAATCGAATCAGCTCTGACGTCAGACTGAAACGACGGTTAGGAAAATGCCAAAGCCGGAGAGACTGCTCAGCTCTGCTCTCCTTCCGTCTTCATTTTTTTTTGATTTTGATCAACGAAACAGTCGTCGTCTTTTCCCCTCTCACAACCCTTTCGAGTCAAGGACCACGATGATGCTTTCTCTGCGCTTGGTCATGTCTCTCCTGGATCAGCATGTAAGATCCTGACTCTGTTGGTGGTGTAGCCGATCCTCCTGCATCCCGGCCTGTGCTCGCTCTCCCGACAACTCCATCATTTTCCGTGACAAGAACCGTTGCTGTTTCTTTCGACATCTCTTCGCGTTTGTCTTCCTTCTCGGATTCCTCGACAATGCTACTGCCGCGACAAGACGATGTGTGTCATCCCTACATGCTTCATCGCTGTCGACGGTACTACTACTATCTTCAAGACGACATCTAGTCATGTTCGGCGAGACATCTCTTCGCTTTTGTCCTCCTTCTCGGGTTCCTCGACAATGCTACTGCCGCGACAAGACGACGTGTGTCATCCCTACATGCTTCATCGCTGTCGACGCTGCTACTACTATCTTCAAGACTACGTCTGTGTAACCAAGTCATGTTCGGCGGCGACATGCGACAGACAATCCTTTTGCGAGACTCCAGCAGCAAGTTTGGTCAGGCCGCTCGCGTCCTGCTGGTTGGTGGAAGGCTGCCTCGACTTCTTCACAAACCCCTTTGAGGGAAGGACCATGATCGTCATCTCATTGTCTCCGTACTGGGGCAGCATGTAAGGGCCGTAGCTCTATCCGGGGTATGCTCGCCCTCGGATCCGTCCTTCCTACAGTACCTTCCTACACTTTCTTTGTTGGGTGAAAGGTCTTGTTCAGCGTCCGAATATGGGTGTTCGTCTGCCGGTTCTCTGGAGTCTCTATGATGCTTTGACCGTTCGTGTTCGAGTTTCATCAACCAGCAACACACAGGTACGGTCCGCTAGTGAACGGCATGCATGCATGACATTTGTAGTTCTTTGCTCCTTGCGAGTCAACATAAACGGCGTTGGAAGTGGAGGGGGTGGAAACTTTACAAAGCCTATCCTTCTTCACTTCGCTGAACCAAAGTGTCATGCATGCATGCGGCAATTGGTGCTTTGCTCTTCATTTTGCCCTCAGCTCAAGTCTAACCTCTTTCTTGGTCCATTCTGCTTTATCATCGCGAGCATGACCTTGCAGGTACGGTCCACGAGTACGCATGCAGGCATGTCATTAGTAGTTCTTTGCTCTAACGAGCCAGCATTCGTGTTGGAAGGGTCCACGGGCACTCGAAAGGGTGTTCGTGAACTGCTTCGCTGAGGAAAGTGACATGCAGTGCATGCGGCAAAATGGTGCTTTGCTCTTTAGTTTGCTCTCAGCTCAAGTCTCACCATTCCCTTGTTGCCCTTGCTCTTCTTAATTTGTTAGGTTAGGCAATGCACAAGCTCACAAGGCACTGGTAGTCTACCATTGGACCGTCGTCTTAGCTACATGGGTTGCCGTTGAGGTTGTTGCCGTTGTTGACGGTTGCCTTCGCGGTTCTTGACCGTTGCCGTTGTTGACGGTTGCCTTTGCGGTGATGCTGAGCACGTTTGAGGTCGCGTTTAAACCGACGAAGCTGGTTTGAAGTCCGTCGGCCGTGCCTGTTGGCTTCACTTTTGGCAACGCTCCTTGGCGCGGGAGTCCACTGTTTGGTGGTTTCTGGAGCTCAGAGCTGACTCCTCTTTCCAAGCTAGTGCATTTCGACCTGCTTTTCTGTTCCTGTGGAGCTCATTGTTGGTGGTTCCTGTGACATAGCACCAGTCGGTCAGCTGATCGAGTCAAACAGGTACGGTACACCCAAGTGTTTTTCGCATGCAAAAGCATGTCACCTGCTTCTTTACTCTTGCGAGTAGCATTCGTGTTGGAAGCTTCCAGGGGCACTGAGAGTGTGTTCCTGATTGTCTTCGCTGAACAAAAGTGGCATGCATGCATGCAGCCTTTTGCACTTTTGCTCTTGATTCCAAGTCTAATCTTTCTGTCCTCTATTCTGCGTTTCTCTTAGACAAACAAGACCCCGTCGATCCGTCCTTTCTGAAACAGAAATTGGAACCCAAAAACTCCACGGCCTTGCGAGTACGTGTTGCGGGTCTCCTCCTTTTTTACAATCCATCGACGACAATGATGATGTGTTCAGTGAAGATGGGAAACCTGCAACCATATGAAAGCTGGGCGATCTTCAAGGAGAGCCCAGCGGAAATTTGGCCAGGCAGCAGCAAAAGGCAGTGCTTCCTTCAATCCCCCTGTGCTGCTACCTGTCTCTTGGTCTCTTGGTGGTGACTTCTTGGATTGCTTGGGATTGGCTGGGAGCAGGGATGTGGTAGTGATTGTTGCAGGCTGCTCCGAGTGCTTCTTTAAAGGCGCTGACATGAAGAAGTAATTCTCGCTCGGATTGGATTTGTACTGGAGAAGCATTCGGAGCAGCCAAAGTTTCACCGCTACCTGTCTCTTGGTCTCTTGGTGCACCAGTCGGGCAGCTGATCGAGTCAAACAGCAACCTGCAACCATATGAAAGCTGGGCGATCTTCAAGGAGAGCCCAGCGGAAATTTGGCCAGGCAGCAGTGTCGGTTTGGTCGTTTGGTTGAAGACGAAGACGAAGACCCACTCCAGCATGCAATAGCACCAGTCGGGCAGCTGATCGAGTCAAACAGGTACGGTACACCTGCGTTTTTCACATGCAAAAGCGTGTCACCTTTGTTCTTTACTCTTGCGAGTCAGCATTCGTGTTGGAAGCTTCCAGGGGCACTCGAGAGTGTGTTCCTGATTGTCTTCGCTGAACAAAAGTGGCATGCATGCATGCAGCCCTTTGCACTTTTGCTCTTGATTCAAGTTTAACCTTCTGTCCTCTATTCTGCTTTTCTTAGACAAACAAATCAAATGACAATCTTCATTAGATCGGCTCCCTCTTGGCCCCCTCTTGGCCCTATCCTTTTGGCAAGGTCCCTGTTGGTGGTTGGTTGGACTTGTGCTCTTTGTCCCTTGGATCTGATGGTCTTAAAGGCACCTCTTTGATGAGGGTCTTCCAAAGATGTTGATGATACTTTGGTTCAACCAACCTTGTCCCTGCTGCCCTGGTTCCTGTGTTCCTGGTCTGCCTGATCCTGTTTGGTTCCCTCTTGGCCCCCTCTTGGCCCTGTTCCTTTTGGCAAGGTCCCTGTTGGTGGTTGCCTTTGTCGCCTTGGGGAGTCTGCCTTTGCCACCTTGGGGAGTTGCCTTTGCCATGCCAGCCAAGTGGACCGCAATGTCCAAGCAAAGCTAGGGGACGAGTTGCCTTTGCCATCTTGTGGACCGCAAAGTCCGAGAAAAACTAGTGCATGTGGACCGCAATGTCCGAGAAAAAATAGAACACCAGCCAAGTGGACCGCAATGTCCAAGAAAAACTAGTACATTGTGGACCGCAAAGTCCGAGAAAAAATAGTGCATGTGGACCGCAAAGTCCGAGAAAAAATAGTGCATGTGGACCGCAATGTCCGTGAAAAAATAGAAACATGTGGACCGCGATGTCCGAGAAAAACTAGGCGAGGCGTGTACTGTTGGTTCAATTGAAGGGTCACATTAAGGGTAGCCAGGTTTGTGGTTCCTGTGCTAGGGAGGCTTCACAAAGGCTGATCGCAGCTGACTGAACGTATCCACTTTGATAGTTAATACCTGTGACACCTGAAAACCAACCTCTACCGTCGTTGATGCAATGAACTTCGAAGAGTTTCCACGTCCACGTCGTGAAGTTTGGGGAGCATCCTTCTTTTGGGTGATGCGAGCCGAGAGAAACTCAAACTCAAACCAGAACTTCAGTACTGCAAAAGTTGAAGGCCCGGTCCTCCAGTTGGTTGTCTCTTTCATTGGCAGTAGTATTTGTCAGCAACTTGAAAGGCAGCTATGCGCAGGTCATTTGCTGTTGTTGTACTGCCAGGGAACCTTCAAGTTGGTCCGTGGCTCTTCCCACATTGTCCCAGTAGCTCATCATTACTTTCGTCGTGAATGCTGGAATAGCTAATCTACCTACTCTAACCCCCGTCAACTGCTGGTATAACTGATCCTATTGCATTTTCGTTTTGTGTTTGATTGACAGATCCTTGACTGTCACTTTGATTCCTCCTCCGTGTGATGACGGCATGGTTGGTCCCAAGCTGTACAACACCATTGCTGTGGTTCCCGTGGCATTCCTGTGGTTTGTTTGGTTGGTTGCCTAGTGCTCCATGGCCCTTTGATTTGATCGGAAAATTTCTTAGGAGGTTTCAATTTTGACATGATTATCCAAGTGCGTCCTTACCTTTTGCGGTGACACTTCCTGTTCCCTTTACGGTGGCTCTTCCTTTCCTTTGTGGTAGCAGCCAGCTATGCAGCCTCCGTTCGTGCTCAAGCTCAGTGGTGCTTCCGCTCAGCAGTGGCTCTTCTCTTCAGTCCAGTACTTCACTCTCCTCTCTTTTCTTTTCTGGCAGGAGGAGCCTTCACTCCTTGCTGGAGACCTTCGTCGGTTGAAAGCCTGAAGTTGCAACACCAACGGACCACCCACTTCAGTCTAGAGCTGTTGGTTGTCCCTGTTGGTTGTCCCTGTTGCTTGCAGTTGTTCCTCGTTTCCGTGGGACAACGCTTAGCAGCTCGAGGAGGAGACCAAGGCAAAAACTGAAATTATTTTATACTTGCATGGATGAAGAGAAAGTTTCTCCGTGAGCGATTTCTCAGAAGTGGTGCAAAGCCAAAGACTCGAATCTTGCATTCTGGTACGAATGAATGTCCTTTCATCCCCACGTCGATTGATATTGATAAGTCACTGGGATTCTCAACCATTCCATCAGAAAGGATCCTTCTAAAGAATTAAGATGTGTGCTTCAGGTCATATTTTCTTTTTCAACTGAGCATAGTTTCTATAGACCCCTATTGTCTTTTGTGTGTTTTGGGGGCATTTTCGAACCATCAAGGCATCCAAGATCAGAGTAACCAACATGGTAAGCGTAGTTGGGGTAAATTACTCTGATGAATTAAATACCGATACAATGTTACCATAACTACCTGCACTTTCAGCTGTTTCCAGGTGACCGGAGACCGACGGAACGACGAAACATCACCGAAAAAGAAGGCGCAATTGCTCATTGCTCACCCATTTTGATCAATCGACCGCGCGCATCCGTCCAGCTTCCTTTGGCAACTGGCGCTAGCTCTTAGTTCCGCCTAGTCGACACTGAATGCAATCCTTGCACAGTGGTTACGTGGTTACTCTTGTCGCTTGTCTTCCCCTGGGTTCTGTTCTTTGCGTGGACGACCACCACACTTCTATCTCACTATCTCACTTGTGCTAGATCTACTTACCTCCAAACTCCAAACCATCGCACTCCCCAAAACACACGATGTACCGTAGAATGAAAGAGACAACGACAATGAACGAAGTGAGGATGGAATGTGCTACCCCTCCAAGAGATACCAACATGTCGTCCAGCCGTTGTTGTAGTAAGAGTATTATCCTTCTTGCCATGATCACCTTGACCTCTCTCCCCTTGGCAGCAGCTGCTACGCCAGAAGCACCCCATCTGAACGGCACGCACTTTCGCATCACAGCTCTGGAAGAGCATGGTTTCTTGGACATTGCCCCCGATGGCAAGAGCTTTTCGGGGTATCTGATTGACATGATAGACGCCTTGTCTAAACCGGATCGTGCCAATTTCACGTTTGACTTGTTGCCACCGAGTGGGTACGGGTCGCTCTGCAATCCACGCCTGACTCCCCTCGACGCTGGTGCCTACAATGCTTCCTTTCGAACTCAGTACAACTGTGGAGCCACCGATGTCAATGATGGACCCAACACTACGTATGCTACCGACATGTACTTGGGCATGTACTATGTCACTCCTTCCCGACAGCTCATTAACCAATTCACGATACCCTTTCTGCCACCCTATTCGGGGACATTGGCCATGTTTGGTACCGCCACTGGTATTCCCAACTTTGAAGCCCTCGTGGAACAACAACAGAGTGGGATACTGTCGCCAGATGTGACCTGTGGTCCGGCTGGATCCGCTCTGATTGAATCCGTGGTACAATCCTTTCCGGGATTGCAAATACGAGGCATCTATGGCGGAGAAGAGGAAATCTACCAAGCCTTTGTGGACCGCTCTTGTCAAGTCTACATTACCGATGGACCCATTGCGGCACAGTTTGTCCTCCGACGGTCGCGGAGAGATCAATGTACCGATAGTACCGGGGCACCCATTGGCGTCATTGGGGATCCCATGCAATTTGGATTGTCACATTATGCCATTGGAATTCGACAAGATATTGATCCCAATGTGGCGCACACGTTGTCGTACTGGATGAACATTTTAATGACGTGCAATCCACTCGATCCGACGGGTCCGTGTCCCGACGGAAACTTTGCCACCTTTTACAAAGGACGTGGTGGCACGGGAGAAGAATGTGGCTATGTACTCTATCCCGAACAAGGTCTCACGACGGGTGCTCTAGCTGGAATTGTCATTGCCGTGGTCGTGTTCGTAGTGGCGATCTACACACTCTGGCACAGGTACCGACTGGCACGACAGCGACACCGGTATGCCAAAAAGTCGCAAGCTGCCATGGCACAAGCCCAACGAGAACGAGAATTCAACGAATACATGGCGCATGAAATCCGTGGACCACTGTCCTGTGCCATTCCTGCCATTTCCTTTGTGGCATCCAAATCCAGTGATCCCAACATTGTGCCCGATCCCGAACACCGCGCATTGATCAAGGCCGATATCAATGTCATTGATTCCTCCCTCCAATTTGTCAATGAACTGTTGCGCAATATGCTGGACTTGCACCGCACACAAACGGGTCACACTATCAAACTGCACATGCTCCCCACGGATATTCAAAACGATATCTTTGAACCCATTTCGACAATTCTCTTTATGCGGGGTGCCGCCGTCAAAATTGAAACCGTCTGTCATCCTCCGGGCTTGACCATTATGGCGGACCGCATGAGGCTCAAACAACTCTGTTTGAATTTGGCCGCCAATGCCTCCAAGTTTGTACAGCAAGGATATATTCGATTGCGAGCCGAAGTCGTGCCGTTGGAAGAAGCATCACCAACCCAATCTTCCTCGGAAGCAGACGAGACGGGGGACATTGAAGATCAACAGCTCAGCGGCAGTCATAAAACGCAGAGTATGGCCGGGGCGGTAATCTTGTACGTGGAAGATTCGGGGCCGGGTATCCCGGAAGAAAAGAGAAAATCACTCTTTGCCAAATTCCAAGACAGTCGCGATGTACTCAATCAAGGTAAGCAAGAACATTATGGAATTGTGAACTCCCTCGTGGGCGGCTCGATGATGTACATAGTTCGAGTAAACTCATGGCTTGGCGCTCTACGATGATGATGCTATGCTCTCAAAGGAACGGGAATTGGCCTCAGTGTGTGCAAGAATTTGAGTGAACTCATGGGTGGGACGCTGGATCTGGACGATGACTTTGACAGTGGCATCCCGGGGTGTCTCGGGACACGCTTTCGGTTGCGGTTGAACCAAATGCCACTCGACATGGACAATGTCGGGGGGAGCCAGCATGCAAGAGACTTCTTCAACAACGAAAAGGAATACAACAGCCTCTCTGGAAGCTTGCGGGAGGACTTGCCGGAAGACCTCAAAGTCCTGTTCGTTGGTGAGTTTGGCAACCGTCGCACATCTTGTCGTATCTTGTTATGACACTCCTCATTCCTGATCCGATTGTGCTTTTCTTTTTGTAGACGACGACTTGATGCTTCGAAAGATGTTTTCTCGGGTGTTGACATTGGCAGCGCCAACTTGGAATTTCAAGGAGGCATCCAATGGGGAAACTGCACTCAAGATTGTGGAGGAAGAAGAATTCGACATCATCTTTGTCGATCAATAGTAAGTCCGGCCTTGGAGTTGGAAAGAAGGATCTAACATCATTCATGAGGCTAACCGTGCTGTCCTGCGTCTCTTGTAGCATGGCTTCGGTTGAAAAGCAGCTTCTGGGGACTGAAACTGTAAGAGCACTCCGAGCCAAAGGAGTAGACAGCATAATATGTGGCCTCAGTGCCAACGATCTGGACGAACAATTTTCAGAAGCGGGGGCAAACGCTTTCATGGTAAAGCCATTTCCATGTAAGAAGGAGCTCCTGAAGGATGAACTGCGACAAATGCTTCAAAGCAGAGAACAATGGCATCAGGACCTGCCACGATAAGCTATACACCGTGTGGCTGCAAACCTTCAATCGGCTACTGCTGTTGGGCAAACAAGCCACTAGTAGCTAAGGTCAGTGCAGAACCAAGGTCATGCTACACATAGTTATGTTTTTTCGCGTACCGGTACCATCACAGACTTCGTGTGTCCCTACAACGAAAACATTCGTTTCTCGCTTGGTTTGAGGTGCACAGGAAGGCAGCCATTCTTGACGTCAGCCCGGATACGATCACATATGGGTGAAATGCCTTTGGAAGGACCATAGTGCTTTTCAATGTCTTTAATCGCATCTTCCGGGGATCTGCCATCACCCACCAGCGCATCCAAGAGGAAATACAGCGGTCTCCTCCTCCACCATCCGTTCTTTCCTTTAATACGGTCTCGGAGGGTCCAGTCTTTGACCGGCACGTTGCCGTTCAAACCATACATCCATTCCTCCCAGATCTCTGCGACGCACGTTGGAGCTACAGCGAACTCTCTAGGTCGATCATCGTTGGCATCTACATCCACCTCATATCTTGGAGGAAATGTAGCAACGGGGGCAGCAGCTGTGACGGCGGCTTTAGTTCGGTTGCTAATGTGCGGACCGGTAGGAATAGGGCGGGTGGGATACTTTCGGGGTGGTTTGTTGCTGGCTTTGGCCTTGGCAACTGGCTTGGTGGTGTCTTCCTCGGCATCGGAGTGGTTGTCGGCCCTGGCGACAGTACTGGTGTTGTCACTATTTTTGGCAGCAGCCTGCTGTAGCATTGCCATCATGGCAGTATTGAAGAATGTTTGCGGGTTTTCTGGCTGTAGCGGTGCTGGAGCAGGAGGCTGGGCAGTCTTTAGGGCCAACGCCCTGAGACAAACAATACAGAAACAAGGCAAGTTAGTTAGGCAGCCCCCCCGCACACACGGATAGCCCCGGAGCAGACTCTCGTCAAAGGCTTACGTGGTCATGCTTGCATTCATTTTGATAAATTCTACTTGAATAAATTCCCTCAGGGAGCCAATGGATGCCTCTCTCTTTTTGGTTTCCTCCTCGATTTGATGCTGAAGATCGTTCAATTTGCTCAAAGCTTGTTCCATGAATCCCTCATTTAAAGCCTTGCCTTCATGATGATTTTGTGCTGGTTTTCGCCGTGCTGCATTTCCTGCTTTGGGTGTATTCGAATATGCTGCTGGAGTGGTGTGAATGCTGATTTCGTCCAACTCTGAATTGTCGTTTGGACCATCCTCTAAAGTGTCTCTATCGGGGCCCTTGGTCAGGTCAATTCTGTCATCCTTTCCCTGGTCCGTCCCCTCTGATCCTTCTTCTTCCAATCCAAGCTGCAACTCCATCTCTTTGACTCGGACTTCTTCTTCCAACAATTGCATCTTTTCTTTGCGAAGCTGTAACTTCTGTCTCTGAAGTTTCACCTGTTCCATCTTGAGTTTCCTCTTGCGGCTGGAAGCATCGTCGTCTTCGGATAGCTTCCTCTTCTTGGAAGAACGCTCGACTGACGCTGCTGGTGCACTTTTGGTTTTGTTGCTGGCTTCCTCCTCACCATCCATCGGCTCGTCTTTGTCCTTCTCTTCTTCTGAGGTCGACATGGTGATGCTCTTGACAATGGCTAAGACAGAAGGATGAGATTGATGAGACGGCGAGAGTGATGAGACAAGGGAACGGAGGGATTGAACTGATTGCACCGCGACCATTTGTGGTCTCTTTTTAAAGCTCGCTGCTGCTCGGAGCTCGCTCGGCTCTTGGTGTCACCTCTCGTTTTGTGATAACACGAACCTTATTATGAGAATAGAACATGACTTAAACAATGACGAATCCCGTAAGGACGGACCGCTCGCAACTGCTCCGCCCAACATCATCTCCGATAACACAAACACCTCAACACGAAGACGAGAAGAGATGAAGGTTTTGCCTGTCAGAGGAGTGTGGTGTTTGACTATCGCAGAACGATCACATTCAGACTCAAAGATGTCACAACCCTTGAAGAAGGAGCAAAAGACGAGTGACGCTGCTGGGGATGCAACCACCAGTCTCTTCCTCCGCGTGTTGCGTGACGCCAATGCCGTCACGCACTTGTCTCCATTTCTCACCATCAATGACATGACCAATCTCAGCATGGCGTGCAAGGATACGCAAGAAATGTTCCAGAAGGAACGCGAGAGCCTTTCCTTCTCGGATGTTCGCTCGATGGTCCGACGCCACACTCTGATTGGCTACGAACGAAAGGATGAAGATCTGCAATGGGTGGCCGTCTCCCAGAGTCAGAATTTTGCATTCAGAGTTGTCAGCCCCGACCAATCTCCAAGCCAGATTATTGCTCAGTTTGAGATCGAAAATGAAATCTGGGACGAATATTACAACCTCCAACAGGACTTCCGCGGAGTCAAAACTCCAATTTTTTTGATGAATTTCCCAAACCTACCCGTACTAGTATGCGAGTGAAACTCGTTGCTCTCGAGACATCCACCCAGACGCGAGAAAGAATTTTCATTGGACACCCCGACTCTTTTTCAGATGGTGATTGGTGTTTCTTTGTGGGAGAGAACCATGACCACACCACGGAGGACAAGAAATGGCCCGAAGAAGACAAGCAACTCCTTCGTCGTGCCATGAGCATTGTTCACGAATGCACCAAGCTCATCGGCAGCAATGACGAAGACTTTACTGAATACCCTTCGGCTGAGTACTTGATGCGGACCTTGCCCAGTTGGTTGTACCCATACTTTCCAAAGTCTTTTGATTGGGAGGCCGACCACAGTGACCGCGAAACAGAAGTGTTCTTCCCCTACAAGAAGGCCAAATCCAAGCAAGAGTGGCTCGGTCGTCTACCTCCCATGTTTGATGGAATCCACAAGCAGTACCCATCTGATTTGGACTCTGATGATGACGACGATGAAGACGAAAATGATGATGATGAGAGTGCAGGCTCGGAGTAAGGATGGATCGTTTGGGTGGCGACAGATCATTTTCGTGGTCGTCTTTGAATTTGCTGCACCAGTGCCTTCTGTACCGTCCTTTGATCCTTTGTAGCACAAGGATGCGCTTCGATTTGGATTCATGACCCTTGCCGTCGAAACAGATTTGGTGTCCGGTGTATGTGCGCGGAACCACTGCATCGGGTACCATCGGATAGAACAATCGGATCAAACTCAGTAGTTTATGTTTTTGTCAAAGAAGCTTTCTGCAGATGACCTGTGACGACGATAAGTGATGGCTGGGACCATCTAGATGGCATACCATGCGTACCGTAGTGTGGCAAGCCTCTCTGTTTCCTCGGACTGGTTTGCACACATTCGCAACACATCTTAAGCTGGAATGTTGCTTAGGCTTGGAAGGAGACATGAGCGCTTCAGGGTGATGCCACATTCCCCAATGCAGGCCTTTGTCCTGCCAATTCGTACTGGCTAGCATTCCAAGCTCGATCACCAGGAGCTTCCCTTCGTGGATTCCTCTGCTACCGTAGAGCTGTGCCATGGGTTCCTGCAGGTCAGACGGCTTTCTACTTGCGATGGCACAAGTACGGTAAAGATTTTGCGGAATGCCGTACCGGTATTGGTCACGCCCCTCTTGAAATGCGGATAATACGTCATTGGGACCGTTCCGCACTCAATCCTGGAATTCTGCACAATGACACAAACTGCCGCCGGAGACATCACCCACACAACGGTACCCTACTAAACTGGAAGAGTACTGGAAGGCCACCGAGCTTGAGCGTACCTACTAAGTAGGGATCCAAGAGACTACGTTGCTACTGTGGGCATACCGGTATCTTACAAGATGGCTCCTTTCAAAAGAGCGTTGGTGCCATCATGGCTCTTGGTGGTGGCACTCGTCTTGACGGTGAACCTGGGTCGCAGCAAACCGTCGTGTATTTCATGTGAAGCATTGTCGATCATGATGATATCTTCATCATCGACAAACACAAAGGCCTCCACTGGAAGCTTTGGCTCAAGATCGTTTGCCGCATCCAAGAAGCCACCTCCCTACTTGGCCCTGATAACCCCTCGCAACACTTGCGACAACCAGCAACGCTTGGAAGGTATTTGCAGTAAGCTCCAAGAGGCACTGGACACGCACCATGTGGACTTGGTGTCAGTGAGAATCACCAAGGCTACGGCAAACCCCAAACTGGTGTTGGAGCTCATTCAATTTCTGGTACAGCAGAGCAAGAACAAAAAGTGTAGCGTCGTCGTCTTGCAAGATTGGCTTGATTTGGCAATTCAAGCCGAGGCTCAAGGGATTCATATCAAAGAAGGGTGCAGAGGCGAAATCCCCTTGATTCGACAAAGATATCAAGAAGCCAATTTACCACCACCGTTGATTGGGAGCACTGCGCATTCCGTCGATTCAGCTGTCGAAGCTGCCTCGTTTCGACCGGATTATTTGTTTGCAGGGAGCTGCTACTTTTCGGGTGACTCTCATCCGGAAAAGTCTATATTAGAAGGACCCTTGCTGCCGGGGTTAGTGGCAAAGGAAGTTGATGCTGGGTGCCCAGTGTTTGCTATTGGTGGCATTGAAATCAGCAACTGTCAAGAGCCCATTCTTCATGGAGCCTCGGGTGCCACGGCTATTCGGGCAGTGTTTCAAGCCAACAATGTTGCTGAGAGCGTCAACGAGCTCCACTCCAGTCTGCTAGAAGCCTACAACAATGGGGTGCAGAGTCACCGCCACAAGCATCCATTGCCGGCACAGTAGATCAGTTTTCTCGTCCATGCGCACTAGCTATCATAGCTTGAGTATACACTTTCTTAGGTTCGATTCAAAACTGATGCCAAGGTCTCAAGAACTCTAAACTCCTCTCGTCTCTCAAGGCGCTCATTCAGAAGCATACATCTGAGAGCTCCGCGTACACCATATCTCTCCCCGCCCAAACAGACTTGCCTAGCTAGAGTAGCCAGGCCCTTCAAATTTGGGAGAGGGTGGGTGGAAGTTCGCAAGGCATAAATCCTCAACCCTAAACATGGTATAAGTATCTTTTGTTTGGATCCTTTTCTCCAGCACAGAGCTACAGTACTCTAGCTAGAAGCTAGCTAGTCTCTTGCCCCAGCACATACATGTAACTTGAAAGATCGAAGGCAACCATGGCAATGGTAGTAGGCCAACGAGTGCGTATCACTCGCCCGCCAAAAGGTCGTGGGGAATGGACCGATCAGGAGGCGACGGTATTGACGTTGATACCTGTTGCCAAGGAAATCCTCGACTACAAGATTCGTGTGGACAAGGATGAATCCGAGGAGGTGTTATCCGCAGCTTGCTTGGAACCTTCCTCTTTTGACGAAGAGAAGGAAGAAGGCATGTTCAGCTGTCTGGTTGTTAATGGCAGTATGTATTGTCTTGATCACCGACTGGAAGTCTGTGGAGAATGCGGTGTCGACCATCGCTCGACCAACTTACCAGACGAGATTGACGAGAAGCTGTACGACAACGGGTCTGACGCCGTGAACAAGCTCATTGATGATCTGAATCGAATCGGAGTGGCAGGACGCATTGCCCCCTCCAAGAGATCCAAGGCAAAGTACAATTGTCCTGCCAATACTGCCGTGTTTCAACCCAACGTTAATGGGAAACTGTTGCCCTCTGAAGTTCCCGACAACGATTTTGATCCACGCCAAGGCAACCCCTGGCCCGACAGTGTGCCTACGGAAAAGTTTCTACGAGTGCATTCCGACTTCCCCAACACAACGATTCCCGAGGAGTTCAAACTACCAGTGAGACGACTGCGAGAAACAATCTGTGTAGCCGGCCATCGCTGGCAACATTTCTTCACTCAAGAACGGGGCAAAAAAACTCCCATGGTACGATTACTATTGCAAGACGGAGCTCAGAGTCAAGTATTGACCTTGGATTTGGTGTTGCCCATTCAAAGTCTCGTATTGCAGTCTGGAATGGTGGTACCAATCTTTGTCGTTCGGTATGCTCATGTCATGGCGTCCAACATGCAGAGTGCAGTGGCAGTCATGTCTACCATGGTGCGAAACACCCCCATGGGTGAAATCCCTGCCGAAGTGGATGAGATTGTCCTCTTTGCCAATCTCTTGAAAGAAAATGGCAAACGACTGGCCCCTGCTTTTGTGCGCAGCGTGGAACAACACAAAAAGCTGTTGAAGGTCAGCTTTTTTACATCCATCTCGGAGGAGATGCAACAAGCCTACTGCGATAGTCTCAAGTCCTACTGCTTCAGGTGCGGGACGTCTGACGTTAAAACACAGAAATGTGCCCGTTGTCAAAAGGCCACCTATTGCTCGCGTCAGTGCCAACGATTTCATTGGAAGTACCACAAACGAAACGGATGCCAGGCCAGTTAGAGAATGCTTACAACAATGAACTAAAACTACAGGGTCCCAGAATACCTGTAGGAGCCAGCGGTCAGTTCTTCTTTATTTTCCGGATACCATACTAGCCAGTTTTGTACTGTGGCGCTAGCTAGCGCTGCCTATGAATATGACAAGCTCAGCGAAGCTCTAGCTTGGAAGCATCGCTGTCAGAGTATCAGCTGATCCTTGGTCATTCCGGCTGAGCTCTTGCATACCCCCCACACCACAACTTGAAGCCGAACAAACGCTCCTTGCTGGGTCAATAATAATCAAAAACAACCGAATACATGTCAAAGAACTCCATGTCTATGCCTTCGTGGCTGGTACCGTACTTCTTCATGTCAAAGAACTTGATGTCTATGCCTTCGTGGTTGCCTGCCAAAGCATGAGAAAAACGGTTCTCATCCGAGAATTGCACCTGGATAGACCAGAGGCATACCGTACTGTAAAGACGCCTCTGCAAGGAAACCGAACCCTCTTGTCGCCCCCCTGACTTATCTACCGTAGCTACTGCATCATAGATAGAATGGTTGACAAGCGGCACGCAAGATAAAGAAGAATTCTTACATGCAAAGAAGCGAAGCCTGGGTTACTAGATCTAAGCTATAGCTGCGGACCTAGCTTACTAGCTAGCTAGCTAGCTGGTGAAGGTGCTGTCATTTGAAAACAAACAAAATATGAGACCACATGCCCAGCCCCACACTGACCGAAACAACACACTAGCTATCTATCTGAAGCCACCATGGGATGCACCAACAGCAAAGTTGCTTCTGTTGCGGCCGTCTCCAGTACGCGGGATTTGAGCGGGATGGATGTGCCGTCAAACCGTAAACCAATCATCAAACCCAAGAGAGAAGCACCATCCAAGCCCAAAGCACAACCAATGGCGCCAATCGAACGCACCGTTGCCAGGCCAAAGAGCTCATTTGCAATGGCAAAACCAGTCGTAAAGACCGATGACATGAATGCTGCGGCCAGGCCATCCTCTGCGGTAAACTCGATGACAAAACCAATCGCAAAGGCCAACGACAACAATGCGGAGCCCGGGCCGACCCGCTGTGTTCACTCAACTTCAAGACGTGCCCTCAAGCTAAGCGAACTCAGTGAGCAAGAAAAGGCAGATGTTGTACGCTGGAGAGGCTTTGTTTATCAAGGAATCCCGCCTCCGGTTCTGATAGCTTTGATGGTACAGGAAGGTCTGAGGGGCGAACTCTTCCGTTTGGTTTTGGAGCCATTAAACATCGTCCGTTTATTGACAAAGGCAGAAAGGGACGCGATCTCCAAGTTCCGTCGCTGCCTGGAGCCGGACGGCGATGGTGACGGTAATGTAGTGCTCCCACCAGCACCGGCCACTGTGATCCACAACATGAGAATGGACCTCATCAATCCGAGGTTGATTCCGATCATCTTTGATGGATACAAGCCTGCTTCGTGTGATGCCCGAATGAACGAAGTCGAAGCTGCAGCCGTCCGTCGCTACAGGGCCATGCTTGGCAGAGGGATGTCTCGTTTCGAGGTTGCTCGTTTGACCGACAGAGAAAAGGCTGACCCACGGGTGGTTTTCTTGGTCTTTAGCAACGTCCCCACGAGGCCCGTGTCTGTGCCTGCGGGGCATGATACTCCCGCGGCGTCAACACCCAACACAGCATGCAACGAGAACAGTATGATTGGCACAATCACGTCGATATCGTATATTGGAGTAGAGCCCCCACCAGACATTAAAGGCCCCGTGATCAAAGACGGGCACTGCTTTGGATTGCGTCAAGCGTGCGACGATTCCAACCCAACCTGGAGCGTTCACCCCGATTGGGATACCCCATGGCATGTTTGTGAGAGGCGTTACAGCAACCACCCGGAGATTGTGGTTCGCGGCACGAAGCACGCCTACGACGAGATCGAGCGTCTCATCCTGGCCGGCCACGAACACGAGCGTGTGCATTTCGACGACAAACTGCGTAGGAGCTCCTCCAAGCAAAGATCTTCGGAACTGCTATTCTGGTCGGGACACGGACTGTTCAGTGTCCGAATGTTGCTTCCATGATGAGCAGGTCCAAAGAAACAACCGCGTGTTGAGGGGACCAATAGAAGCTTTAGCCCGCAGGGAGTGCAAGACGTTTCCGGTTTCTGAGCCTAGCCGCGACCTTCTACCTTTGGCTCCGTTCCTCCGTCGCACTTGGCTTAGTGGGCCCTAGCTAGCCAGTACTTTGCTAGTTATCCTGAGCGGAATTGTGCGACGAGGACAAGGAAGTGTGAGCACGTTTGACCAAGTGCTGTAGTGAACTTTCCCCTTCCTCGAGGCTGCCATCAAGGATAGGTATTGAGCAAATATGGCTACGATCTCTGAGTTAGTTGCAACCATGGGAAAAGCCGGCCCCAGCCAACGTTCCAATCTCTCCACGAGCGGATGCCGCCTCCGTGGTGGGCTGGTCAAGTAAATCACAAATAAATGGTTCTATTGAACATATCCGTCATGGAATCCTACTGTAACTATGGCTGGCTGGGTGGAAAATCGTATAGCTAGATGCCGACGAGACAAATACGTTTAGTGAGACCCACAAAATTATTAAAACTGATATACTAGAGGAGGCTACAAGCACTACCAAGAAACTAAACCTAAATAACCTTATTAGGTAGATGATTGTCGAGACTGATGCATGAAACCCATCCAAACGAGATACTACATTTGATCCATCCGCTGTTGTATTTCCAGCAGAAACAATAGAGTCAGCTGACAGTGTTTTTAAGCAGCGGGTTTGTCGACCTTGTCACCAAATTCATCAAGGTAGACCCATTCTCCAGTCTTTTCATCGACAAACTCGGTCCACTCTTCATTCTGGGGGATCAATCCTTCGTATTTCGCGGCGTCGTTTTGGGCCCAGGTTTCCTTTCCGACAATGTCCGTGACTTGGTGTCCTTGTTCGGCCAAGATCTCTTCGCATTCCTTTCCGGGGAACAACTCCAAGTGCTCGGTCTCGACAATGAGAGGAGGCTCTTGGAACTGATGCAGCGGTGGAGGAGACGAAAGAGTAAACTCCAACGAGTTGGCAATCAAAGGGATTACCACATTTTCACCGGGCGTCATGTCCGCCATTCGAACCGCCGTCGAGCTGATGGAGCGAGTGGCGACACTTCGTACTACCGAAGCAGCGGACCGACGTGCGACAAGAGAGAGCATCTTGATGAGAGTGTTGTTTCAAGGAGTAGTAAAGGGCAAGCGTAATACTGAGGAGACCTCTTGTTAGATCATCGGCATTTGCACGGTGACGATCCAAAAAGTGGATTTGCTGTAGGTCCGTCATCGTGAGGTCTTCGCATCGAGTGCGCGCAGGCCATTGACTATTGAGTGACTGATTATCCGTGAATGAATGTCAATCCCTCTTGGATCGGATCTTTGGAGGAAGCATCGCTGATCGCTCGAAAGATCCTCTTCTCATCCAGAAAGCGAGAACACAATAAATTTCTCACAAGTTTGCATCTTCATCTCACATCTGACTTTTATCTATCCATCAAGATAGCCGGCCCTCCTAATCTGCAACACATCCTCTCCATAGTCCCATCTAACCCATAGTAACGCCTTTCAAGATAGCCAGCCACCTGCTTTTAAAAGATATCGACCATCGCCACCATGTCATCTACCCCAAAGGCAAAGAGGCCCAAGCCCAACGGCGACGATGACGAGATTATGGCGTCTCCTGCCATGAAACGTTTCATTGAAGACCAAAAGTTTCTGTCATCGCAATCCATTCCAACGGCGCTGACACCCAAGATTATGGAGACACCCAAACTGCCCGACAGCAAACGCATGAAGATTCTGGTGACGGGAGGCGCTGGATTCGTGGGCAGTCACTTGGTGGACAAACTCATGATGCAGGGTCACGAAGTGATTGTCTTGGACAATTTCTTTACCGGGCAGAAGAAGAACATCGAGCATTGGATGCATCATCCCAGTTTCAGTTTGGTCCGACACGATGTCACACTGCCCATTCTGCTAGAAGTCGATCAGATTTATCACTTGGCATGTCCGGCATCGCCTCCGCATTATCAGTACAATCCGGTCAAAACCATCAAGACGTCCACGCTAGGAACCTGCAACATGTTGGGATTGGCCAAGCGAGTTCACGCGCGAATCTTGCTGGCATCTACTTCGGAAGTATATGGAGATCCCTTGGTACATCCCCAACCCGAAAGTTACTGGGGAAATGTCAACACGCTCGGTCCCAGATCCTGTTATGACGAAGGCAAACGTGTGGCAGAGACCATGATGTACGCCTACAAGAATCAAAACAATGTCTCGACTCGAATTGCGCGCATCTTCAACACATTTGGTCCTCGTATGCATCCCAACGATGGACGTGTTGTGAGCAATTTCATTATTCAGGCATTGCAAAATAAAGATATCACCATTTACGGAGATGGATCCTACACCCGTTCCTTTCAGTACGTGAGTGATCTCGTCGAAGGACTCGTCAAACTCATGAACTCGGAATACGATGCTCCCTGCAACATTGGTAACCCGGACGAGTACTCGATCAAGGCGTTTGCCGAAACGGTCAAGGAAATGACCAAGTCAAAGTCCAAAATCACCTATCTGCCCAAAGTCAAGGATGACCCCACGCAACGACAAGCCGACATTACCACTGCCAAGCGAGAGCTCGACTGGGAACCCAAGGTGCATGTCAAGGAAGGTTTGCGAAAAACCATTGATTTCTTCCAAGCCATGCTCGATGTCGAAGGGGAAATTGAACCCACCGGTCCCGATGCCGCCAAACCAAAGGGCAAGTGAGTACTACCGTAGTACGCAAGAAAGGCCCAAGCCAAAAGAAGCCACCGAAGGTCACGGCACAGACACGATTGTGGTGTGAGGAAAATTGGCAAAACGAGCAGGATTGGTAGCGTAATAACTAATCCAGATATATTATACTGAGTGCTTATTAGAATTACAATGCCGTGCTACTCGTAGTATCTTTCCGCTCAGTTTGGTAGCTAATAACACTTCGCATCTAAGCAACCATGTCGGTGGGGTTGTGTGGTGTTACCGTTGGCAACTGCCATTGCCTTGGCGAGGCTTGACAGTCATCCGACGTCTGTAGTAACGTTAAAGCCTAGTAGAAGTAGGTTGAAATTCATTAATTTGTCGTTCTCATTTTGCTTCCTCCTGTGCGCATCGATCGGTGTAGATCATCATACAGTACACTTTGTGTAGTAGCTCTCTGAAGTACGGTAGTGCTGCCTGGTCGTGAACATCCTCTTCCTGGAATCTATCCCAATCGAGGTTCTTGCAAACTGTGAGCGACCACCAAGTACTGTGTACAATGATGGGCAATCCCTTCCTGAACTTCCGTCACAAGCTGAAGAGCTCACAACATTAAAGTACTTCGCACATTGCACTCTCTAGCTAACTCTACACTCATGCACACAACAATCTCAGCGTTTTGCCACTGTGTTCTCTTTAGAATAGGTGCTTGTATGTACTGTAGTTAGCTGAACAAAATTATCTGGTTTGGGCCGGCTGCAACGCATGCTGGTGTCATGTTTTGTAGCGGGTCTCGTTTCTTGTTGTGGTGTTGGGATCATTCGACTCTTTCTCGATTCGATTCGATTCGATTCATTCGATTTCGATTCTACTCGTCGGGTTCTTCCTTCCTTTCTTCTGTTTGCTACTTTTCGACTGGTACTTGTGGTTGCTGTTGTTGTTGTTGCTGTTTCATCATGGTGACATCAGATGCATCCTGCAGACCCCGTTTGTAGGCAATCTGTCGATCATCTTTGGATTGTTCCTTGGAAAAGAGCCGCATGGCTTCGGCTTGACTGGCTGCCTTGGCTTCCGCGGTGCCTTCCACTAATGCTTTTTTGAGTTTGACCTGCGCTTCCAGCATGGTTTTAACATACGTCTGGGCGTGCTCCTTGGTACTATCGTCCGCCAGTGTTCGTTCCAGGCCGCGGGCACAAGAGAGTTTATTGCTGCGTTTACAGATGCGTATTTCGTGCTGCAAGAGGGTATTGAGGTCGCTTTTCAGGTACCATCTAGCAGACAGTTCCTGGGCATTGGTGGGTTCCAGTGGTTCGACTTGGTTTTTGCTTTCGACAAAGGAAACCGTCTTGGCGGGTTTCTTTTTTGGCTTCTTTTTGGGTGCTGTCGTGTTGGTGTTGCTGGCGGATAAAGTTATATCACTGCTTCGACGGTGGCCGCTGCCATCCTGCGGAATGGGTCGGCTGCCATGAAATGACTTTGCCGTTCTCGGTGGAAGCTTCTTATTTCTCGGTCGTTTTTCAGTAGTCGAAGAGTCTTTGTCTTTTGTTGTTGTAGTGTCATCCTCTTCCTTGCCTTCTTTGTCCCCACTTTCGAGCGAAAGCTTGGCGTCTTCGGAAATGGACCTCACATCGAACGACTTGTGCCGCGATGGAGGTTTCCTTCGGTTTCGTTTTTCTACAGCTTGAGCGGGCCGTATTATTTTGGTGGTGATATTGGAACAAGAATCGTGTTTTTTGGTTTTCGCAGCGGCCTCTAACCCAGACGATGACGACAGCTTGATGACGGAGAGAGACGCATGCTGGCGGGCTTCCATTCGCCCTTTGCTGTTGGATCTCCGTTTGAGTTTCATGTTGTCGGATCTGCGTTTGTGGTTGCTGTTGTTGGTCTCCTTATTGTTGTCGTTGTTGTCGACATCTTCTACTGGATCATCCGTGGCTGTGTGGCTGGGCAAGGTGTCCACGGCCAACTTGGCGAGGGCGCTTTGTAACGACAGCTTTCGTTCTTTTCGCATACTAGAAGACGACGACTTCACCTCTGGTGCCTTGGAGGATACTATTTCCAGATTGGTGCCGGACGACGTGGAAGTAAAGGAGTTCGCCCGTCTCAGTGGAGATCTTGCTTTGGGCGTATTGTCGTTGCTTCGCTTGGGCTGTAGAGTGACGGAATTGTGGCGCTGCTGCTCTGTCTTGTCATCCTTGGTGGGTCGACGGCGACCCCGACGGTCCTGACTGCGCTTTTCTAGCTGCGAGAAATGTGCGTCATCACTCGATTTGCTCTTGCGAATGCTTGGTTTCACTCTTCGGGGGGCACCTTCCGCGGCAGGGTCAGTGGTGGGATGGGCCATGGTGGGAACTATGATAGAAACAGAGACACCTGACCTGGGGTGGGCTTCACTGGAAAAAGAAATATAATGGCGGAAGCTGAGCTCTAGCTACTAGCCAGTGGGCTGTGGGAAATTGATTTGGTGGTTGTAACGTTGGAACATTGGATGTTGAAGGAGATGTTGTCGAAGACGCGAGAATGCTTTTACAAGTGAGTCCAGAGACCGGCGGATAGGAGGTTTACGAGTAGGGGTGCTACATAAGAAAAAAAGAACTCTTCTCCTGCTTCTTCCCCTAACTAATCGTAATCAATAGCCTATGACTTATGACTCTTACAAAATCCGATGTGGGGGGAGCGGGAGAGCTAACGGAAGTACTACTAGCTAGCTAGTAAGCCCAAAACCGCAAGGACGTCAAGCTATTTTAATCATCGAGGAATCCTGGTAAGACGAGGGCTATTGCCAGTTCGAAGTACAAATGCATGATATAAGTAATGATGACCGTAACTGAAGTCCACGTGTCCACGTGATGTTGCTGTCCGCGAAGAATAGCACGTCGTCTTTAGTCTTTAAGAGTTTCGAAGCCAAGCGGTACAAATACATCGTACCGAAGACCGAAGAGCGAAGCCGCAAACTCAAAGTTTTAGGTTTGTTCCTCAGAGAATCTGGCAGGAGACCTCCACTATAATAGCCACAAGCTACAGGCCACAAGCAGCTTCACATCTTCACACCTTCGCTCACGCTGCAAGTAGCCTACCGGTAGCTAGTAGGCTCAGTTTCCCATCGCAACAGTGACAGCTCTTTGCTATACTGCGCGCTGCGTCATTTGCATCTGTGGTTATTAATGGGTGGGCTGGACCTTTTTGGTTAATGTCTACTCTTGTAGTATTTACAGTTCATACGGTACGAGTTGAGCATTCTTCAGGAGCAGAATCGATTCAAAGCCGGAGGTGTGCAGCCATCTTCCAATCTTCTGGT